GGCCCTCCAAGTTGATAAACTAAAAAACCAGAAAGTGGCGGTTGAACTTTAACTGGCCCTCTCTTTCATCGTTCTAAAGCACTTCACAACTGATAGGTGCGATCGCGGTGGAATCGTAACGCTTTAAAAAATGTTACGCGAATGCGCTGCCTGAGCACAACACATGGGCTTAAATCCCCTAGATACAGCTGACTTATCGAGATTTAAAAGCAAGACCAGAAGACGCCTTCTTTTTTTCGGGCGCCACCGCAAAAATCAGTGCCGGCCTGATAAGCAAGTGACATTTAATACACGAAATAGTGCTAAAATTACCGGTACAGATGGCTCTGCCGCTTTCCCATCCCGACATTCCGCTACTTTGTGCTGGTAGTAAGCGTTGTATGGATCTGTTGCGCTCAGGAAACTGAAGCGCGGATTCGCCGCCTCTTTTTCACGGATTTTATTCTCGAAATCAATACCATTTCGTGCAACAAACAGAGCTGTTTTATCAACAATCGCTAAAATTAGCAAGAATCAAAACCTGTGAACACCAGTAAGTCACTGTTTGTAAATTTAAACTTAAATTACTTCTTTTTAGATGATGCCTTTCCGGTTATACGACTAGACAGAGTACTTCTTTTGTTCCCGTAAGTGATAAATCTCAGTATCATAGCCTATACCCAAAAATACCGATAAGCTCGTTGGGAAAAGTCAAAAAGAGCACGAAACTATGAAAAGACAGGCTTCAGTCCTCCACTTATGAATCGTACAGGACAAATTACGCTGAAAAGTGTGGGAAGAGAACGAATAAGCGCTGGCTACAATTCATTATCACAGCTACAATTTCCTGCTTATAACAAGTAACCTTTGATTAGTTACCAATGTATGTTATCATCAGAGCCACCGAAGTAGCAGATCTCAAAAAAATGAAAAATGTTTACATCGGAATGTCAATATAACTTCTTTTGAAAATTTTTTAGGTTACTTTTTGAAATGGTCATTTCACGCACACAACGTTTTTTGCTTGCACAGCTGCTTGACCTTTACTGCAGAACCACTGATCAGGCAGACGCTGGTTCGTACCACCCAAGCTCGGCATGCATGGGGATGCCAGGATTATATCCCACCGTGCCTCGAGACTGTCCTGGCCGTTGCTAATCCTTTGAAATGCTTAATCCTATCACATCTTTTTTTTCACCAGAATTCCTCCTGTCCGCCCGGCACCAACCTGCCTTATGCTTTAAACTCGACACGTTTTTGCTCAGTCAAAGGAGCCTCTTGTTCAAACACGATAACAAGACGTACAAGAATTTAATGAAATGACTTATGTCTCATCCTCTTGCACAGTCAAAAGCGCTAAACATTCCTATTCAGGTTTTTTAATCCGATTTATCTTATTCACCTTCCTTTTATTCCCTTCTTTTTAACCCTTACTTTTTACATAAACACACATCATCTAAGATTAAATTTACAATGAAAGTACCCACTTCTTATATCGGGCGGTGGATAGATGATCCCGATCACCTGGCGCCCGCTCATCGACGGTTCCGTGTTCACGGAATCCTCCTCCCGATTCGATACCAATATTACTGGTGGCATGTTGCACTTAAGTCTGAAAAATAATACGAAAATTGGGAAAAATTCGTTATAAGCCGATTGTAGCATCCGGGTTGACCGTGGGAATCGAAGTGAAGAAGGCGCGACTGAATACAGGAAGCGGAAAGAGTATGAGGAAAGAAGGTAAAAGTGAGATAAGACGTTTCGATCCATTTTTAAGTCATATACGTCTTAACCCAACACCGTGACAGAATCTCGTCAGTATAAATTTAGCGCGTTTAGCAAGCAATTTAAATTGCAACGAATACGCAGTATGGATTTCCTATATCCATCCCCCTAACATTGATCGAAGACACAAATCAATCGGATCTTCACACCAATCAGCTTTTATAGTGATTGAATGCACAATTTATAACGGATTTAGCAACAATCGAGCAGTCCTTTATTCGACTGGCACTACATCCATCAACGATTATCCACACTAATATTCGTCAGCCTGTAGGTATGGCCGCAGTATGTGCTCGAAGGTTCAACTATGCCCGGTGGGACAAGCAATCTCTCTACGATTCGTTTCGATGGTAAATTGATACTGGCATATGCCGGGGAGTCAAACCCGCCATCAGCTTGCTTGTAAGCAACTTGAAGAAGGGGGAGCCATCGGCAACCTTGCCAGCGGGTGGCTGCTGTTGGCATTCGGGCTTCTGCCTTTTACTGAGAGTGAAATACGAAAGGAGAAAGTATTAGTTTTTTCACTATTCATCAATAAAGTATCGCTAAAGCCTTGCAGCAGCGCCTCACTTCTCCCTGAAAGCTCGTTCATCCTGCAATCCCTTCAGCCGATGAAACAAGAGAGACATGCCCGCCAGCAATGCAGCATTGGTCAAAGGAACTGGAAAAGTTGCCAGGCGAGCAGCTGGAGTCCCCCCACCCCCCAGACCGAGAGTTACAGCTGATGTGCAAGCAACAAAGCATAAAGAGCACAAGGTTGGAGT